GCATCGGCCGAGACTCAAGATGCTAGCTGTCCGATCTGCCTGTCCACTCCAGTCGCTCCACGCATGGCTAAATGTGGCCACATTTTCTGTCTACCCTGCCTCATCCGCTATATGCACTCTACAGACGAATCCAACCCTGTTCCGGACAAGCGACCCAGATGGAAAAAATGCCCAATATGCGAGGATAGCATTTATATATCTGACGCGAGACCGGTCAGGTGGATTCAGGGCAACGACGTCAGCATGCTGAGAGAAGGTGGTGACGTTCTGCTCAGGCTGCTGAAACGTGAACCTGGTTCAACACTGGCATTGCCTAGAGACACCGCAGAGAGCAACGGCCACTCGGAGGACATCCCCTGGTTTCATGTGGCTGGGATGATGGAGTACGCTCGCTTCATGAAAGGTGGTGAAGACTATATGAAAACTCAGTATGACCAGGAGATTGCGGCTCTCGATGCCCAGGAAAGGGAGGACGAACTGATGTTTGGTGACGATAACACATGGACCCGGAAAGCTGTCCTGGCCGTTGAAGATGCCAAACAGAAGTTGTCTGGGCTGGGAAACCCACCTGTGGCAGCACCAACTTCTCCTGCAAAGCAACCAGAGATTCCGGAGTCCTGGGAATCAGCCGACCAGGAGTCTTCTAACTTAACTTCGGCAGTCAAGTCAATGACTCTCAGTCAAGGCCTTCCTACCATGCAACCTGCATCAGGTCCCTCGAGACATGCTCACGGATCCCAACGCCCATTATCCCACCCGTTCTATTTTTACCATGCATTACCAAATTTCTTCCTTTCACCCTTAGACATCCGAATTTTGAAGGCTGCTTTTGGCGACTTTTCGGCATTTCCATCGACCATCCTCCCGAGGGTAGAGCACATCTCTACGGGACATATCATAGATGATGACCTGCGCAAACGGGCCAAGTACATGGCTCATTTACCATACGGGTGCGAGGTGACATTTTTGGAATGTGACTGGACCGATGTCATCAGCCCAGTCATTCTAGAGCAGTTCCAAGATGACATTACCAGGAGACGAAAGAGGAACCTGGAAAAAGAAGCAAGAGAAGAGAGAGATAGAATCCGAGCCGAAAAGGAAGAGGACGATAAAAGATGGGCTGCCGCCCGAAGACCGCGGAGACCAAGCTCTGTACCAAAGAGTTTCACTGAATCAGATTTCCAGCCATTGGTCGAGTCGGGCAATCATACAAGTTCTTCACCAGGCGAATCTGGTCTGGCAACGACGCCGCCCTGGGGTAACGCGCGGGCTCAGTCTGCGTTTGCAACGTTGGCCACACCAGGCACGAGTCCTGACGCACCTCGAACGGTTTGGGGTACGGCGGCAGTCGCTCCACTCTCTCCACCCCTGCTCGCTGCGCCTGAACCTGTGAGCGCACACGCCGACGACGGCTGGTTACAGGGATGGGAGCAGGATCTTCTCGACGAGAGCGATGCCGTGGCTATGGTTGAGGCTTCCTTGATTAATGGTGGCTCACGGTCTAGTGGCGGTGGCCCCTCTTCGAAGAAAGGGAAGAAGAAGAAGATTACACTTATGTCGACGGGCAATCGACGTGGCGCTTAGCAATGGCTTGAGATTTTCGATAAACCATTCCATGTGTTCAGGACTGAGATGTGTCAACGACAGCAATGAGAATTGAAAGAGAAGGGAGTGCGAGGCATACTGTGTGATTGTAGATAGCGACGACCGATCTTGAAATGAGCCAGGAAGCAAATTTATGTGTGCCTTTAAGCAAATAAATACACGCTCAATGGAATCGAAATTCACAAAACACAATAAACAATATTGTCATCGCATCTAGTCTACCCAACTCAAGTTTGGAGAAACATGGGATGTCTGAATCCACAGCGGACGTATGTGTCGTCGGAGATGTATGCGAGGTGATATACGTCCGAGTATCGAGTGTTATGGTCGAAAGTCTCTTGACTACCTAGGTACACAAGCACAGTCAGTACGAGGTCATGATACGAGATCAAGCCGAGTCTCCTCTCTAAGGAAGAAGAAGAGTTCAAGTTATCTCCGCTCAGGGAGGTTTGCTGTTGCGATACATACAGCATGCAGCATTCGCTATAGCATACGGGATACTACGGCGGACACATACAGCATTTCCATTCCGTCAAAAAAGAGATGAATTTCCTAGTATAGCGTCACTCGGTACATTTGATCCCCTTTCTCCATGCCATCGTTCGTTCCGTTACATTCTTGTCCCAGACCTCGTTTGATCCATAGGCTGCTATGGGTGTCGTCAAGGCCGGCGCGTCCGTGTCTCATTCCATGTATGCATCATCGTCCGTCTTCGTCGTCGTCGCGCACATCCAGAGCAATACCGTAGTCGTGATGGATTTGCACACCACGTCCCTTCGCTCTCAGTCTACATACGCAGATGCTAGTCTATGCCATCTGGGCCAGAAAATCTAGACATCGATGGCGTCCACGACAACGCCCTTGACCCAGTCGTAGCCCATGACTCGGGCGACCTCTTGGGCCGTTTCGTGGCTGACAAGGGCGCTGACGAGGTACAAGCTCGCGTCGATGCCGCTGATGGTGCCGCCGCTAGTGATGACCCGCATGCCGCCCAGCTTCATGCTCTGTCGGCGCACTAGGTTCTCGTGTTTCAGGTTGCTCTCCCGTCTGGCCAGGGAGCCCTTGCGGGCGGTGCTCCCCTTGCGGTTCTTCTTGAACACGTAGGGGTTTTCGTCCAGGTTCTCACCCAGGTCGAAGCGGGCGTTGTTCACCACATAGCGCTCCTCCATGACGTCGGTGCGTTCACCCATCTCGCGCGCCGCGGCATCTTGACACTCCTTCTCCAGCTTGATGTAGAAGTCCGGGTGTGTGGTCGCCGCCAGCCCCTGTAGGAGGCCCTGGCTCGCCAAAAAGAGTGCCGCCGTGTCCACGGCCAGCACGGTCCGCTCCCTCCCGGGGTCAGAGGTCTGGGCGTCGGCGAATGCCTTGATGATTTGTGTAGGTTCGGCCTTGTCTTTGAGGACCTGCATGCACTTGTCCTTGCCGCCGGGGACGACGAGGACGTCGAACTCCTTGAGACGCTTGTGTGCTTCCTTGTACGAGACGTGTGCAGTCAATGTGACGCCTTGGGCGGTCAGGACGTGTTCCTGCGCAGCTGCAAAGGTGACATCAAAGGCTTTGCTTTCTGGATTGCTTGCATGTCAGCTTGGTGTGGTAGGTAAAAGGCTGGTCGTGTGACGCGGGGTTTTGGGGGGAAGGGGGGAAGTGTCTACATACCTGGGTCACTGGCATTGTATTGAGCGTGAGTGAGAACTTCAAGCGGGCCGGCAAAGTCGAGCAGGTCCATGCCATCATGCATGGTGATGAGGACCTGGATGGGCTCGTTGGTCTCGGTGTCCTGAATTGCACTCATCTTGCCGGCTGTAGATGGGTCTGTGTCTGGAGAGAGGAGGTGAAGAAAGGGATTGTGCCTGAAACAGGTGAAGAATGTAATGTAAGTGGTTGGTTTGAGTGATCAAAGGACCTTGAAAGGCTGTGTGCAGATGTTGGAGTGTGGTGGTTTGTCTCGGGCTTGGCTGCGGTGACTGATTGAAGGAAGGGGAAAGAAGGACAAAGGAGGAGAAGAGTTCGGAGAAGGTGGCACGACAGCTTGGTGGCTCGGTGGCACCGGTGATTCGGTGGCGTGGCTGGTTTGTTTCTGCGGAGACCCCACGAAATTCCTGAGCGCCAGTGGCCAAAAATCGTGGGGTACTGAGAGGCACTTTGACGCACTAACTGAGGGGCAACCGGGGCATCAATCAGGCTATTAGGCCACCAAAAAGGCGCAGGCAAGTGAGAAGTAAGACCTCGTCGCGGTCAAGTTTCTACCACACACTCGACACCACCTGCATAATACCCTCCCTCTCCTGTTACCATCACAAACCCACGAAGACTAGTATGTGGTCTGTCAGGATAAGGACAGCCAAGGACACAGACTCCAAAGCTCGTGAACACCTGATATCAAGCCTGTCAGAGACGTCTATATTCCTGCTCCCCGGTTCTGACTTCACCCCTTTCCCATTGCGTGCGAAAAACGTCAATTATCCTTGTTCGTCTTGCACTTCCTCTTCCCTCTGAACCAGAGGCTGAGATTTTCACTTTTGATCTGCAATGTTCTTCCCAGCACAGGAAGGCCTGCACCGTGTGTCAGCTGCACTTTTATGCAGTTCGCAGATACGGCAGATACGTGGGATATGCCATTGCCAATCGACCTGAGCAGCACTCACACTCTTTGCTTTGAACATGCCTTGGCGCCACCCAAACGCTGGATTTCTATGCAAGAAAGGCACAACTCCTCGAATTAATGGTCCTTTGAGGCTCTTCTGCCGTCACTGAAGAGTGCCTGTGCATGCCAAATGCAACCCCTGTCAGTTGACGGCCAGAACTTCGACAGGCGCATGACAGCCCCTTTGTAGCGGTAAGGAGCGGTGAGGAGCGGCGAGAAGTTGACGACAGAGATCGATGCGCCCGACGAACGTGTGTTCGGCAGCCTGGACCTTTTTTCTTATCCGGATGTTGACCCAGAGTGTCGACTTGCAGCGACTTGCAGCGGCGACTGCCCTCAATGTTTGGCGCTGAGCCCATGTCAAGAGCGGTATCATGCAAGGTAGGGTTGGGACAATGGATCGTCCAAGCGTCCATACCTATCTTCGATGGCTAGACTGGTTCTGTCAGCCAATTCCCCCGAGCCTGCAGAGCAGTATTTAAGGTCAATGATGGACTTCCCTCGTCTCTTTTGGGCGGCATGTTCATTGTGGTCAGATGAGCACTGCGTACTTGACTCGCGTTGAGGCTCTATCAGCCTACGTTTCACCAAACTGACATAGCTCACTGATCTTTCAACTTCCGGAGCCTTGATAAACATTTACTTCCATAACAGCATCTTCAACTTCAGACCTCGACACAAACCCGGCAGAATTCCTTCCGCATCCACAAGGCGGCGTCGTGGTTATACCGAGTCCACAGCAATTGTGGAGATGACCCGATCTGACTTCGATCACCTGGAAAAGTCCTATAGAGAGCAGCGAACAGAACTTCAGGCCATGACCCTCCAATTGAGGAAGATTGGCCTGACTGCAAATAAACCGCAGCAAGATGTCGCAGCTAGAAAGGAGAATCAAACGAGTCTCCAAAACGAGGTGGTCCAGGAAAAAGCAAAGTCCACCCAGTTAGAGGCTGACAACAAGACCATGGCTATCTACATAGCCCGACTCAAGAGCGAGAACATGAAGCTCAAAAGAACAAATGCAATGCACGTCGCTCATCAGCAACAAAAGATGAAAGCTATGCCCGTGGGCCTGATTGAGATGGTGATGGCGGAGCACGCCCAGCTCTTGGAAGCGAATAGGGAGCTGAAGCAACAGAACGAGACCATGGCGGCCGAAAATGCCCGGCTGCAGCGACTTCAGAGCGAGCAGGGCCAACATGTCAAGGAGCTGGAGCAGCATGTCGCCACCCTGGAACTCAACCAGCAGCGCAAGAGATATCACCTTGAGGCGTGCCGAGCGAAAATCGGGAAATTGACAGATACCTATCTGTACAATGCCGGCGGCACTAAGGAGGGGAAACCATACAAGGTACGAACATGTGTGCCACGATCACCACACTCGTTCATATACATTGTCACTTCCCCGGAAAGAACAAGATGCTAACCCTGGAACTTTGCAGGACTTGAACCAAGTTTACCCCGTGTTCCTGAACGTCTTCGCCGAACTTGAGGCGGGCTTACTCTACTGTCTGATGGTCTCGGACGATAACAACTCGGATTCCAGTCCCAGCGAGCAAGCCCGCCTTGCCTTGGACAGGGTTTTCGAATCTGATCCGGTCTTCAGTGATTACCTGGGGGACGAAGCTCGAGTCAAGATGAAGGAAGAGCTCACGAACATCTTCCACGACGGGCTCGAGCTCTTTGGACGGGGAGGCATATTCTAAAGTGTTTAGAATATCGCCTTGGCTTGTGTACCAAGTATAGATAGAGAAAAGGTGATGAGGAGCGAAGTTGGGGGTAGCTAGTTGGATTTGTATTTTTTTTCTTTTTCTTCTTCTTCTTCAACTACTACTACTACTACTACTACTACTACTGGAGGTACTTTTTACCCCGTTCGTCATCCACATCACACTACATCGAGGTATATGTGTTACATACTACAGAATTAGGTCTGAAAATGGATTATCCGCGGAAATACGTAAAATCAAAGGATCGACAAGCTCGAGATCTCCTACACCAAAGAAAGCCATCGCCCTCTTAGTCAGCCACCGGTGCTTTATATATGTACCTCGTACACAAAGTACCACAACACTCAGCGGCGAATCTTGACCTTCTCCAAGATCCATTTCCGTTTCTAGACCTGATCATCCCGCCATTTAACCTGAGTTGTGACTAAGCTATCCTGAGCCGGGCTATGCAATCCTGAGCGCGGCTTTGGCGAACCCTGAGGCGTTCCCTGAGTACCGTGAGCACAGGCCTGAGCCTGCAAAGGTTCCCACAACTTGGCCCCTAGGGTTCCCAGTTTCCGGTGTTTCACATATTCGGGCCAGCCGCTTCCGTTTCCCCCACCACGGTTATTCTTGCCAGAATATCTACGGGGCCGCTTTTCTGGACTATGGATGTATTTCGGACTCATTTTCATTTACTGTAGACTGCGATCTATCAAGAGCAAATCAATGAAACGCCGGAGGCGAGAATCTAACGAGAATACGAGCTCCAAGAAGATGCGGCTTCCGAATCCACTGCCACTGCCGCTGCCTCGAGAATTCCTTTGTGCGACAAGATATGATTTCCAGTGGCGATAATTGCATACCGCAGACCCAATACCAAACCCAAAGCTTAACCAGTCAGAGAAAAGAGCCTCGGTAGCATCTTCAACCGGATCCAGCTCTCCGCCGGTTCAACCACATACCTAATCTCAGCAATGTCATCATAGATGGGCCTGAATGTCAGGAACTGTGTCGACTCATTTACATGGACTTTCAGGTCGAGGCAGGTTTGATTCATCACAAATATATGACCCCGAGTCGCAACAGTAGGGGATTCTTGGACTCCTAGATTATGATCCGATGGGCTTGGAGGCGTATCCGGCGTCCAGTATCGCCAGAGCGAAGAATCGCCATAGGTGTCTGCCGAGTACAGTTTTCGGGGAAGCCCCGTGACCAAGTCACCGTCTTCGGCCCTGATCAAGGCAGGACGGGCTGATTGAATGGGATGTGCAAGTTGTATCTCTTTCTTGTTGTCCTTGTTGGATGATATCGCTCCGTGCACGAGACGATGGCTGTCAAGGATGAGAGTATCCAAGACCTCGACAAAGCGTGGACACTGGAGGCTGGTGATGGCGTATGTGAGACCGCGGGCCTCGAAATCCTGGTACACCTTCCAGTATTCTGGTAGTGTGAGGATAGACATCCGGACACTGTCCGAAAGAAACTGAGCCACATTGGTATAAGACAGTCCGGCGAAGACAATTTGATCTTCGCCTGGGATACTATACGTTTTTGCTTGACCACTATAGAAACCTATGGACATAAATTTATCCAGTGCAGGCGAATATGCGAAGCGCAGGTGTTCGGTGACAATGTCTTCGATCAATGGCATCAGCAAAAGTCTGGGGGTCTGATACTTTGCTTCGGCGACGAGGACACCTTTATCGAAGAGAGACACAGCTTCGGTACCATGGAACTGTCGACATGCCAGGGCCACGACGTCCAAGACGGATCTCGTAAATCCTTTGTCATGATATTCGGGATTCGAGACGATCAGGATCGTTTCAGATTTGACAGCAACGAACCCGTCACGATACAAGACCTCCTTCACAATGGTTAGAGGTAAGTGGTGGTTCGTGTTGTTTGTCGTAGCAAGAGCATGGATCTGAGAGCCGAGCGCTTGCCTGCTTTTGATGACTGCAAAGCCAAAGTTCGTCTCCTTGTAATCCTTGTAGAACAGTTCCTGTGGGCACGATGCTTCGGTCATCACATGCATAAGATCAGAATATGTGGCTGCAGTACTCGCAATTGACTCCAACCTTTTGACGGCGAGTCTGTCGAGATTGCTCATATACTTCATCAACCCTGGTTCCGCCTCTAGTCGTGTAGCTTCGAGCAATATCTTAGCGAGTGAGGGCGCGAGATCCAGTCCAGATCCCAGAATTTTGACGTAGACTTGAATTGTGGAAGACCACGACACCTCATGGCTGATCGAAACATAAGGCGCAAATTTTTTCCGAATGATGTGGTGATCGATGATCGATCGCACGCCCATGCGAAAGCAGGCTTCGGTCTTGTGACAATCGACGAGTACAATGTTGTGATAATTTCGGGGCTTTGCCACACGAGACAACAGGCTCGAAAATTGTGGCCCGAGAATGTACTTGACCTCGGGTGGCACATACTCACACCACGTATGGACAGGCCTTTCCGGATAAAGGACTTTCCTTCGAACTGCTTCGAAAAGTGCGCTGCATGCAGAATCGGCATCTGGTCTGGGATGGCCGAGGACATACGTTGCGTCTGGCCTGTCGTCGGTCTGAAAGATTGCCAGGAGATCGTCTTCAGTGATAAGTTTTGGCAAATTGCTTGTGCTGGTCACTAAGGCACGCTTGCCGCGAAGGTCCGTCAGCATCTCGGTGAATTTCTCGCGTTCAAGCATGTCGCAACCTTGGCTCGGCAGTAGTCCGGAGTCATCGAACGAGATTAATAGTTCTTGGAGAGCTGCATCGTCTCTAGCATGGTTCAAGTTTTCATATCGCTCCCAGATGGGCAATATGGCCGACGGACTAGGAACCCCAACCCAAGAATAGCATTCTCGAATCATGAGCTTAGGGTGCTGCGCAAAGACAGGGACGCCTAGGTCCAAGGAACAAGTGCCAGAAGACGTCACAAGGCTTCTCATGGCTCCACTGATGAAATCCGAGGACTCTGGACTCCAGAACTTCCAGTGGCCAAGGAGATTCGTCGAAGAGAGCTTGGTTGGTAGTCCCCCTGGCCCGACGTCGCCAATGTCAAACCATCCTGGCCGCGAAACGGGTATTCTCCATTGGCCGTCTTGTGACTGAAGCTGGCCGTTGTTGAATTTCAGAAGCACGGCATTGCTAGCAACCTGTGGCACTTGCTCTGTATTATAAATAGCGAAGGTGTCCGAGAGCCATTCCGCAAAGCTAGATGAGGCAACTTCTGGTCGTCTTTGAGCGAGTGCTACAAATTCTCGAATGTTGAGCATTCTGATACCGAGGCGGCGGGATAGTTCGCCGGCCAGAATATGCGAGACTCTGCATATCTGGCCCTGCTCATCCTATTCAAGAGCGTTGCGCAGTCCAAGGTTGTTGGCTGCTTTGAGTACCCGCTCCGAGACAAGCAAGGGCGAAAGGCTAATATGTAATCCGAGCACGTCATCAAAAATAAAGCGAGACTGAGCTGTGCTGTTCGATAGATCCATGTAGTCGAATCTAACCGATCATATAAAGTGTTGCGCAAAAAGGTGGACGGCAGACCAGCAACTTTGGAACTCGGGGTGACCCGGCATGATGTACCTATATTCCATTTTCTCTCAAGCAGAATGGACGACATGTCTGCGATGCATCGCTACAAGGCGCAATTGAATGGGACGGGCGTGTCTCAATCCCTTTACCTATTCCCGTTAGCAATAGTGTACGAAGAAAGTAAGGGCCGTAGAACTTCGCCGAGATTCGAAAAGGGAAAATATGAGAGCGCCTCGAGTGCAGCCTTGGATCAATGTGTTCATTTCGCAGGTCCGGTCAGCGTCCGGGTCATACAGGCGTTGCACTCGCCCACTAGGTCTTCATCTGCTCTGGCTGGATCGACCGGACCAACTGGGTGTATCGATCTGCGAATCACCGTCTCCCTTCTCTCACTGGTGAGAGGAAACATGTCGGGAGTGCAATGAGCGCAGAGGATTGAGGAAAGAGCTACTCGCATCGGGCACCGCGGTCTGCCTTGCAGCGTGCGACAGCAGATAGCGGAAGAGGCCTTCGGTGAGGTACTGTTAGACACGTAGCTTCACTCGTGTTGTGCCGACTTTGTCACGCCCAAAGTCAACAACTGCATTGGAACCATTCCGCTTACAGTTTCGGTGAGGGAGTGGACCAAAAATGATTAGCCCATTTGAGTATGCGCATGCGCCGGTGCACATCCAATGCCAAGGCGACACGTTATTGTCAATTGCTGCGAGCACCGCCAGTTAGTACAGTCGATAACGCCCAAGGTTAGTGATAACGCCCAACTTACGGCTAGGTAACTTATTAATCTTAGCCTGGTCGTACAAAGCCCCTTCCTCCCTCTCCAGAGCATCCTGGTCCAACATCTTTCCATTTCATCGACGCCATCGTCCTGAAGCCTAGGCGAATCGATACAAACCAGTCACACCTACCACTCTGCTCGTATGGCTGAGCACTCTGCGTCGGCTCCCCCACCATCGAAGGTGCTTGGTGAGAAGCAAGTCGACGTGTCGTACACCAATCGCATGGCAGTGCGCGCTATTTTGGTCAACAATACAAACGATTTGATCGCCTTGATCTACATCGCCAAGGGCAATTACTACAAACTTCCTGGCGGGGGCGTCGAAGCGAATGAAGACCACAAACTCGCCGTCGAAAGAGAGACTCTCGAGGAAACCGGCTGCAGACCAAGGCTTGACGATATGCGTCTCCTAGCCACAAGCGAGGAATAGAGAAATGATCTTCATCAAACTTCATTCTGCTATGTTACCAGCCTGGAAGAGGACACCGGAAACCCGACACTGACAGAGCTAGAAGCTTCTGAAGGGTTGAAGCATAGCTGGGTCTCGAAACATGATGCCGTGGAGAAAATGCGCAACGTTGCACCAACCTCGGAGCTGGGACAGTACATCAAACGGCGCGATCTGTTCTTCCTGGAGTCATTTGTCTCACAGAAGGACCTCACATCTTAGCTCCACGAGAAGCACGACGCAATCAGATGTGGCTCAGCAAACAAATTTTCCAAGAACGCCCTCTCGGAGAAGTGTCACATTGCATTGGCTTAGTTTAGGGTATCTTATCGTGAAACCGAGTACGGACGAGGGATGCGCAGCAACCGGGCGCCAATGATGCCGCCTTCGCCATTTCATATTTTGATCCCATTCTGTCAGAGGATGAGGACAAGGGAGCTTTCCTTGGCCCGAGGACGACTGTGTCCACAAAAAGACATAACACCTCTTGTCCAGAATCTGATACTTGATTCAATCAATTTCGACCCTCTTGCCCTCTGCTAGATGGTCGCTTCCAGCCACTGCTAATTTGAGAGTACAAGCTTGCCACATCGCTGGTAGAGACTTCATTCAACTCGTCATCTCAGAGTGCCTTATTATTCGCTGCGGCGTCAGTGTGCTTGGTACTTCATAGGCATCATAGAGGTTCGCAGGCCACCAGGCAATTAATGTGAGATCTCGGCAAGCTGGAGCGTCATCCCTTTTAGGCTTCCGGAACCGGCTAACTCGGAAAGCAGAACAGTGTTCCTAGGCGCTTGGACGGACCGAACCCCAGTTTCAAAGCTTGAAGTTGCAGCAGGATGCATGACGGATCTGACCCACAACCGCCTGGTGCTTTTGGTATGACTGCGCCCACCGAGCTCCGTTTTGGGCCTGGCCCATTCGAGGGATCCACACCAAAAGGCGACAACCTTCGTCGGGATCAAGCCAGGCTTGCTTGGGTCAGCCGAAGTGTTTACAGATCGAGCGGCGAGGCAGTCTAGACGCTGGGTATAGCCCAAAGTCCACCTGCCCAGTGCACACGATGGTGATTAGTTGATGGCCAGTCGACGCTGTTGCTGCCTGGGTTGTATAAAGGTGAAGATGCTTCCATTTCCAAACATACAAATCGCTTTTGTTTCTTTGAACCATTCACTGCGGTGGTATCGATAGCAGTGGTATTGAAAATAGTGGCATCGACAGTAATAGCATCGACAGAAGTGACATCGATGGTAGTAGTATGACCGACAGTGGTATCGACCGCAGTAAGAGTGAGCATAATAAGTAAAAGGCTCACCTCTTCGAGACTTATTAATTTCTTCTCTGAGCCAGGTAGCTGCATTCTCTCCTTCACCATATATCAAAGGCATAAAGACATAGAAGATCCCGAGCAGACAGTATGCCTGGTCCTCCTTCTTCGTGTTCCGTTTAAGAGCCCACCGCATACGATCTTCCACGTTAAATTGGGGTAAAGGTGCGCTGCGGAGGGCCGTAACTAGAATATCGGTGATCTCGTGGATCTATTGTTTGAGGGTGTTCCTGCTACCTAGTCACTCTTCCTCGCGTGAAAAGAACTTAACTAATACCGGCGCTAAAAGCTCTCAAAGCGTCTAGCCCCGTGTGAGCTATCTACTGTCGCGGAAGGCCCGCTCCCATATCCGTTCTATGTTATCTTCTCCATTAGGGATTGACACGTCCGCCAAGTAGATATAGTACTTGACCGTATCGCGGTACTAGCGAAACATCGACTTGATAGCTTCTGAGTATTCGGTATTGTTCGCTTTATTAATGTAGTATATGTCCACCTAGAAGTATTCGAGTTTGTCCTTCTTCGCTTGCTCGCCGTAGAATCGGATCTTTACATAGCCGGCCTTATTCTTAAAAGATTAGCGTTTTAGATCGTCGAAATCGACCTCGTCCTTATCGTCTCCCTACGTATGCGAGAGGATCGCGTAGGGAGGGATGTCATCTTAAAGGTCTCCGGTCAGGCGGAGCTCGCCCTGATCGTCGAATGTTAGAAGACGCATAGTGTTGGGTAGGTACTGGCTGTACGTTATGAGTACATATGCGGCCTGGTAAGCACACCGTGCCTTACATGGCCCAGTAAAGCTTGAGTGCTCGTTGTGACCCGCTAGGGGATACCACTCTAGCAAACTGAGGGGGCGAAGAGAGGTAGTCGTAGTGGTTGCAATGACGGTGAGGTAACGGCGAAGTTAGTTGGGAGGCGCTGGATGGCGATGGGCGACTCTATGCTGGACCATAGCCAAGACTGACCCAGCGATTACATAGACGCATTTTGAAGAATGTCCGATCAGGCTGAAGGTGTATGTCCAGACGGCGCATGTGGCCGGCGCGAGGCAGCATGGCGGCTGCGCAGAGCAGGCACGGGGATGGGGGCTGAAATATGTGGCGTCAACCAACACCGCCTCCGTAATCGTGGCGTGCGGGGACGGACTGAATACGATGGGCAGACGGGGAAGGCACGTCCGAGATGAAGGACAGACGGTATGATAGGGAAGACGCGACGTGCACTGCGTGCAAGACGCTATCAGGGGAAAGGGTACCAGGGTCAATGCAACATAGAAGACGCGCTCCATCTTGCACGGAGGGCGTGGGTTGCGAGAGATTGCATCCACCGTCTGTGCAAGGAGTCCCAGGTCCGGGCCTTAGGTTCTCAGAATTGTGCCCTCGTCGATGGTCGTGTAAACCTTCCACATCTTCGAAGAGAGGCGCCTACGGATTATGCGTGAGCATCTAATGAGGGCGGGGCCCAGAAACGGGACTGAGCACGGTGGAGGTGAAGGGTGAGGCGGGTAAGCGCCGGCCTGAGCAGGCTGAGCAGCTCACGCTGAGGCTGGGCCGAAGTTGAGCCACGGTCACATGATACCTGAGTAAAGCGGCAGGTCGGTGTCCCAAACGGGTGCCAAGGCGAGGCGCTTTGTGGCCGCCAAATACCTAAAGATCCAACCAACGACACGAGTACAAAGTAATCTTCGTTTACTGGCCCCCAACTAAATCAGGCAAGCAACTGTATTGCCCATATTGGGTCTGTGCAGCCTCGCTTCATTATTACGAGTGATACCTCGTAATTCGTCCCCACAATCAGACTGACACGCCTTGCGAATACGGAGTACCTACATAAATAATGCTTACTGCCGAGAGGTAGGAACGTAGATCTGGCCAGACACTTTTAGCCTGCGGTATGCGATAGGGAGAACCTCGAAGATAGACCCAGTATGTAACGGGTCAAAAAATATTGGCGCGTTCCTGGGATGTGCCGGAAAGAGAGCTAGTAGCCTGATATCCGCGGGTGCTTCGGCCGCGCTTGTCAGCCATGGTTTCTCAAAAGAGTGGAAAAGACCGGAAACAAGTGGCGATTGTTTGGTGGTGGTCTGCTTTTTTTGGCTCACGACATGGGATATGTCAACCACGTAATTACCTTCGTACATGGCCCCGGAAAAGGGCCTGGATGTTCAAACAAGATATATAAGAAGGATTTTCCCTTCATGTCTCGTTCAGGGCTAGGATGGAGTTTTCTGCTTTCCAAAAACTAATCTGGTAAGGAGAGTCACATCGCTTGGGTGTCAGGGTACGAGGTCATCTCCATGCTTACCAAGAAATATATATATATGGTGGGTATATATCGTTCTTGAGTAACCATCGCTTGGAGGTTCTGGACTTTCACCCGCCTCCTTCTGTGGTCTTACTGTACAGACTTCGCAGTTGTCGACCACACCACAACATCTATCCGGAAGTCATGTCGGACAACAAACTTATCGTCATCTTGGGCAGTGGACCTGGCATCGGAGCTAGCACAGGGGCGATCTTCGCGTCCAAGGGTTTCAATGTCGCATTGCTCTCTCGGAATGTTGAACGTCTGAGTCAGGATGCTGCCAGAGTGCAAGCGGCCAATCCTGGTGTCACGGTCAAAGCGTACCCTGTTGATGTTGGAGACCACAATGCCCTGGCATTAGTGTTGGCCAAAGTCCACGCAGATCTGGGACCCCCGGAAGTGGTATATTACAACGCAGCAAGAGTCATGCCCTCGAGGATCGGTCAGACTGAGCCGGACTTCCTGCTAGAGGATTTCAAGGTGAGAGGAGAACCATGGATTTGGCCCAGGGAGGCACTGAGCGAGATCCTTCTCTGGTCTGTTGTTGGCTAACTGGTTTGACGATGCATAGAGCATGAACATTGGACTGTTTGTAGCAGCGTCGTGGGCGATGCCTCACCTGACGGCGGTGGCAGAGCGACCCGGGTCCCATCCATCGTTTCTGTTCACCAACAGCGGCCTGTATGACCGTCCACTGGCAGACTTCGCCTCGCTCTCCATGCAAAAGGCAGCGCAGTATAACTTGCTGCTGAGCTTGAAGCAAATGGTGGAAGACAAGGGTGTCCACGTCGGGGGGGTCAACATTGGCGGACTCGTCCTGGCAGATCACCCCATCACCAACCCTGACAACACCGCGCGAGCCCTCTACGATATGTACCTGCAGGACAAGCCCAACTGGCAATGGGAGGTCAAGTTGGGAGACTGGGATGAGTTTCTGAGGGAGATGGCGGCGGCTCAGAAGTCTGCCTGAGCCTTGATCTTACGCAGTCTCTGCCCAGTGTGTGTATGCGCAGTGGACGTTCTGTACAGTTATCGCGACATATTCTCGACTTGATGTACTCTTGCCGCTTTGTCTTCGATCTGTGTTGTCTCAGACATACACTCAGCCACCCATGTGTGTGCCTTCTCTTGTCGTGTGTGTGTGTGTGTGTGTGTGTGTGTGTGTCCCACCCCCTTTTTCGAGTCTCCCACTTTTCATAATAATTCCGCTTTGGTCTCGACTAAACGGCACGTGGGGAAATGGCGTGCCTCGTGGCCGTTGTTGCGCGGGGCTCCATTTCGGCTAAATCAACTTGTTGGAAATGAGAGTTAACTCTTATCTGGCCGTTGCTGAGGGGGCAACTATCGAATTGAAGGTAGCAAGCTCGGTTCCTTGGAGCGGAAAACTGTTGTGCCTAGCTCACCAGTACCGAGAACCTCGAACAACACTTTGCTGTCCACACACACACGCACACAGACTTGACTTCTCTTTCTTCTCTCCCTGGATTTCGTCACCAGAACTTCATTTACTTTTCCCCTTTCCCTCTTCCTCCTTGACTGGAGGTCCTTTCCCATTCTTTCGTGGGTTTCTTTTTCCTTCGCGCAATATATA